GGACTTATCTCAAGTGTGTTCTTGCAGTTGTTCGCTGAATGGTCACATATGCACCTAGAGGCAGAATGTGCTCAATTATGCCAAAAAGGTGTATCATTGAGTGTGGTACTTGTTTCTTGTGTACTGGTTGTAAATGTTTCAGAGTTATCATATTTTGCTGCCACTCGAGTTTAGTATTTACCTCGAGTACATCTTACATTGAACTTTCCATTATGTACATGTCCGTAAAATATGTATAATAATGATTTTTTCATTAATGGAAATGCGAATGAATTTTAATATAAATAAGAACCTAATACTGCTGCAAAAGCTTTAACGTACTTGTTATACTGTATTGCCATGACATCCACCTGAAAATCAAATGCTGTTTACAGGTTATGCATATAGACCAATCATTCAATAATTACATAGATAAATACAAACACTCTGAAAGCGGCAATTCTGCATCAATGCGTACGATATTTTACATGTACAATGCTGCAGACATGTTGTAATAAATGATCGTTGCATTGCCATTATGGGTACTAGTCTAAAGCTATACTTTCTGGAATACTGCTATACACATATATTTGGCAGCTTGGATATGGATATAAAAATCATGTAAATAAAGGAAATTTAAAAGCCTGCTATAAGGATTTAGAGTAGAGTTAGTTCTTTTAGAAATGGTTATTCCCTATGTAACTTTGTTTCTGTTGCTTTGCACAGGTGTGAAGCGCACGCCACAGGCCGGTTTTAAACAGATTTCCAAATGAGGGTTCATGTATTTTAGAGCTGGAAGTTGTATTACAATGCTGATGATATTTTGCATATTCTCTTGTCTCAGCCTTCACGTAACATGCTGTACAGAATCCCGTTATTGTCTTGTGCTTCACTTGAACACAGATGGAAGAGTCGTGATTTTATGCTTTGCTGGGAAGTGTGTTTGTGTGTTATGTGCCTAAGGTCAATACTCACCATTTGAGTCTAACTATCATCCCAGCACCCAGCCAGTTGTATTTGCGTGATGAGTGGACTGGTTACAGTGATCTACTAGGTCTTCAAGTGAGTTATAATGTAGCACGGTATGTGTGAGGTATAACAATGAATCAGACTTTGCGTGCCATTCGATGTGGTGTATTTGCATATGAAACGTGGTAAATGGTGAAGATAATAGCCAAGTCATAGCTTGTTAGATTTTTGATGTGTGAAGGACATCTCATCGATCTTGTAGGTACTTAATTAGTATGTACCAGAGTGGTGTATACTTCTGTTAAAGTGCGCAGCCATATCATGCTATTTCTTAGCAATTAGCACATGCGTCTTCATGATATATAAACAAAGATATAAAAACATTGTCTATGAAGTGTTTGTGCGCTCAAAGGATACCAAACAGATTCACCCGATTCTAGCCTATGCGTCGGCAGAGTTAGTCGCCTCTGATTCCTATTTGCCTGTTTCAAAAGCTTGTCTGCTTTTGTGGGTATAAAGTTAAAAAAAAAATAATAAAAGTAGTTAATAAAATAGCGGAGGGGGCTGAGTCCATGTGATGTAATAATAAGATATGGGCTCGAAGTCGTGTAGTGATATGAATGAGACAGAAATATACATCGTAGATTCATGTCCTTTGAATACGATGGTTACAACTTTCAAGCGACCTATGCATGTATACATGAATGAAGGGCTGATGGAAATATAGTTCATACTGGGTAGTTTATTTAGTAAGAAAAAATTATGCCGCTGGGATGTTACAGACGTCCCTTTCCCAGATGTTAGTCAATGAGAAAAAAGTCTTCTGGCCCAGTGACGTCACGGACTGATACGAAATTGTCCTGTACACCGGGATCTTCTGAGAAATATAGGCCCTTATTAGAAAACATTCTGGTCCTCCAAGCTTGTAAAATGTGCTAATAACGTGGGTAGTCTGAGAGCTATTGTCCTCGGTATTGTATGAACGCCGGATCTAATCCACGGGACGCCGGCGCCGCGGCGCACGTTCATTGACTCTGTTCAGTACTACATGAGTTTTACCTTTACCCGATGATGGCACAATAAGAAACGGATTATATGGATATAATAATACTTTCGTGACGCTTTCGCTCTCAAAAATTGGCCATTTTGTCTTCATGCGCCAATGAGCAACTCTCATAGAATAAACGAGGCCGCCGCGGCCTCCCACGCTGGTATCGCGAGCTTCTGTAGGTATACATCCATGGCTGGCGTCATGGGGGACCCGGCAAGCGACTGCCTAAACTAAATACTGCCGTGATGAAACGCCATATCATGGATTATCAAGGATTATTTCTGAAACAGTATGGAGCTCAAAGGCTTTCTCTCTTGCCGGTACCACAAGGTGAGTTCCTTTTTATATCCAGCTTTTTCACACACATGCTCTCTCCAGTAGGCAGGTTAGCTCTGAGTGTTAGCGATGCTAATGTAAACACCGACCATATTACGTCCAAAACAGTCGGGCATTGTTTCTGATAGCAACTTTCTGATAGTGCCGTGGGTCCACATTTCCGATATTACGTCATATCGGACGCAAATCTGGATCAGCTCCGTTGCACCCCCGTTTTTAGAGATTTGGGTACGGAGGAGAAGAGAGAGGGTTTTATTTTCTGACGCTGCGTGAGTTCCCGACACACCGGGGACACATAGTTATAAAAGACATAAAAAAGTGCATTTTGCATGATAGCTCCCTTTTAATTATTTTCATTAAAAAAAAAAAATTATTGCTTTTTACAGTTTTTTTAGAAATAAAAACGAGTAAAAGTAAAACTTACACATATGTGTGTTCTGGATTTCCGGTTTGAGCTGCAGCGACAGTAGGGATGAACATATGTGAAAATGCAAACACTTAATAAGTATAATGATGTCGACACAGTATGTTTTAAATAGTGTGTGTTAGGTGTGTGTTCTCACCATCCGAGACATTTTGATAGTCTGACTGCTCGTCATTTGCAGCTGTAAGACATTATCGTTATAATTTAACTTCAACTGTTAGTGTGCATTGACATCTTTAGCATGAGAAAAATATGGTACCTGTTGAAAAGTCCTCTTGAGTTTCTCTAAAAAAACAGATCAAATTATTATTTTATTTTTTATCACGGGACATTTTGTATTTCAATTGTTGAGAGAAATGTTACTAGTTTGCCATAACACTGTTTTCTATGGAAGTCCATACAGGACTTTATTAAAATGTTAATTTAAATATTAAATAGCATAATTTACCATGTTATTGGAGAAAAAATGAAAACAATGCAATTTAAATGATCATATAGCGTATACTTGTTTGGAATTAGAAAGTGAAATTTAAAGCGCCGTTTGACATTTTCATAAACGGAGAAAAGATGAATGGAATATAAACGATGTGACCTGACCTTTTTAATTTATCAAAGCAATATGAAGCATGGGCGGTTCTGGGGGGGGACCAACAGGGACCAGAGCCCCTGTGACACGGAGCATAACAAATAATAATATATTTTAACAAAGTAATCGACACAAACTCTGTTACTAATTCAAACACCAATAATGGTATTTTATGTTATTTTATGCGATATGACTTCAAACTAAACACGTTAAAATCTCCTTCTTCCAGCATTAAAAAACTGTAAAAGAAAACAGTAATTGACTTTTTAATAAAAAAACAGTATTTCACCTAACCCTAAATGAAAACAGTATTTGACTTTAAAAAGACGATAAGAAATGTAATGATAAACACATACACTGTGGTTGAAGTGATCTGGTTTGCTCTGGTGACTGAAACACAACACAGCACAATAAAATGAGTCAAAATAAGTTATATAATCTTAAAGTTGGATGATCAAAATAAATAACCGTACCTGTTTTTGATTCTGTCACAGCAAACCTACTTCCCCCCCGTTGGCTGTCAAGATATTAAACAAATCCGTATATATTAAATATGAATTTTAACAAAGAAATAACAACAGTGTTGACGGGTTAACTGTTAACATGTGATTTTTGCATGCAGTTCTTTTAAAACATCCGTGTTAATTATAATGGATGTTTTCAACAGACAGTCTGTATGATCATTTGACAGTTTTTTGTTTATTTTTTCTTCCGAATCTGTTTGAAAGAACAGTCAAAGTGATCTTCTGTGGAACAAATACTCACAACGTCCTCGGGTCGTATATCTGATGCTCCTCATGGATGATCTCTGCAACAACACACAGCAGTTATCAAAACTTTATTATCAAAGCATCCATATTGTCTAATTCACACTGATTTGACATTCAACTCAAATGTGTTGAACGTACAGTCGGCTGGTTTGTACAAATCTGGTATTGTTCATTGTGGGATACTTTTTAACCCACATTATTATTCAACACTTTGAACTAGGCTGCTGATCAAACCAGTCTTTGGTGAAGTTACTGTAAACCACATGTGTCAAACTCAAGGCCCGGGGGCCAAATCAGGCCCTTGGTTGATTTAATTTCGGCGCGCAGGATAATTTCTAATTACTATTAGATCTGGCCCGCCGGTATATTGCACGCACACCTTCACTCCATCCTGAGGGTCTCCTCTGCTCAGAGCCTGACCCCAAACATTGATGACCTTGCACCCAAGATGAGATGCCAAGTATCTGAACTAGCATCACAGAGCAGCACACTGAGTTTAATGGATGTTTCCTTCTGCACTTTCTCTCTCACGACAACAGGGCATGTTTGGTTTGTTCTTTGAGGGAAATAGTTTTTTTGAAGCTGTTGTTGGCCTGTGGGAAAATGTAATCATAAGAAGTGACTCTGGAAAAGCTGCAGATAGAGCCATAAGAAATGAATGCAGCTGATTATTTAATGTTTAATGTTTTTTTTATAGGCAATCATTTAAGCTTTGTTAGTTCCAGGTTTAATATGTTCAATAAGTTCATTTCAATAAGTTGTGCAATAAACATTGACCCAGTCCGGCCCTCGACTAGTACCCATTTTTTTATTTTGGCCCACTGTGTATTTGAGTTTGACACCCATGCTGTAAACAAACAGAGCTGATGATAAAATAGCTTCAATCAGAAATGGAAAATGTTACAGGGCCATGCAACGCTTGTCAGACCAACGTGTTTCCATCCGCCTACGTGATGCTCCTCTGTGTTCATGTTGTCCTCTTGTGAACTCCTCTATCTGTGATGGGTAGTTTAATCCCCGGAAGTGCTTTATTTCTTTAATATAATCATGTGTTTGTATGTTTGTTTCTCAGAATCAACAAACAGCGTTGTGACGATGCAATTTCCAGTTTATCGAAGAGGGGATTTAAAAAGTTTTATTTATTTGAACCGGGACAGTGCACATCGATGAACACTTTAAAACAAAACAATGCTTACAAGCGTAAATGAGCCGGATTTTAGATTTAAGCTAATTTCCATCCGCAGTCCCCTCACATACAACATACAAGAACATGACATTTATATACAGCAAAAAATAAATACATGACATGCAGAAAGTGCAAAAGAGCAAGAGCATTTAGCAAGTGATTGCACGTCTGTTTGTTTCTCAACCATTCTTTGAGTTGACCTTTGAAACTATTGAGAGTGGGACAATCCCGTATCTCAGTTGGGACGCTATTC